CTTCACGGAGGAAACGAGCCAGGTTTAGAGTTATAAGATTGAACAACATTTTCTGTTGCCATCTTTTAAAGTCAGTTCCTGAGAACTTCTCTGACTTTTCACCGTGGTTTACCAGTACTGTTACAACAGGAGAGGGGGTTGGCGTCATTGCAGCCACCACAGTGGTACTTGTTTGGGCATTAGTTTCAGTAGCCATCAATTCTAATTTATAAAACAAAATTATAATTAGAATTTACACTACAAAGAAAATTAAACCAAATTCACAGAATTAAATTCTGTAAAAAATAAAAGAAACAAGAATGTAACTTTTATTTTTCAATTAATTTGGAAATAAAATAAAATTTTATTCAACCAAATTAATTCCACACAAGAAATTAAATTCTGTAAAATAAAAGAAATAAGAAAATAACTTTTATTTTTCAATTAATTTGGAAATAAAATAAAATTTTATTCAACCAAATTAATTCTACATAGAAAATTAATTTGTGTAATACTTCAACAATTAAAATACTAAAACAGAATTTTAAGTAATGAAAACTCAGAAAATAATTTCTAAAACCCAAAATTAATTTCTGAAAAAATTACACAAAAATATATTCTGAATTGTTAATGACACCAGTATCGTACTACTAGTTGTCAAAGAAAATAGACAGTATATTACTACTATCTGTCAAATAGCATATAATTACTATTTGTTTTTCCAACCAGAATATTATTTTGTAAAATCACAGAAAATAATTTCTTAAAAGAAGAAAGAGAAAAGGAAACAAACGAAAAATTATATAAACAGAATAATTCGAATCTGTCTTAAGATTGTTGGAACAATCTTCTGTGTAAATAAAATAATATGAAACAATTCAAACAAAATAAAATAAAACTTACAGTATTTATTTTGTAGAACCGAATAAATAATTCAAAAACCAAGTCGAGTGTGTGACACTCTGTCCTTAAGACAGATTCGCCCCGCTACGGTGCTTACGGTTGAGTGGCGTCTATCTCCCAAGATACAATGATCTTAACCAATTTGTAGTAGCACTCCAAAACAAATTGTTCGGCGAACCAAACCTGTGTTCTAACTCTCTGATTATTTAATCTAAAACTAATATATGAAGAATGAATGCACTAGAGCAATCTGGACAGCAAAGGCACTGATTTTCGAATTGGAAAAAATGCTGGACAGTGCTGGTATATATAGAGCCGAACAGGTGCAGAATTTTGAACTCAACATATGCGAATTTGAAATGAATAGGTATACTTCAAAATTCAAACAGATCTAATCTGTTTGAACAGATTTCATTGTTGGACAGTTAAACCCGGAACTACAGGGCAGTTTCTGGAAGTTAAAAAAACTAAAAGACAGTTTTAATCTGTTGAGTAATTTCGGACAGAAGTTGGACAAAAATTGGAATTCAAATTTGAATTAAATTCCCGCAATATTTTTTGAAAAAATTCAAATGAATTTCGTCCAAAAAATTAATACAAGAACCAGCCTGACCCCCAACCCACACTCGCGCTCAGCCGGACGGTGGTGCGCGGGTGGTGGTTTGGGCTAAGGTTCACTTTGTCCATAACTCCTTCCTTCTGCAAACTTGGGGTGCCCCTTGGGGCCCAACCTAAGTATTGTAGGCTAGAGCTTATAAACTCAAAAAAACTCTCTTAAAGTTTCAATGTAGGACAAGCCTCACAAGGAAACCCACATTACAAACTTTAAATGTTCATTCCACGAACACGAAAACGACGTCATGTTCCCATTCACTCATAAATGGTTTTGACAAACCGTCTTCACCGTGTGACTTGCCACTCGGTAAGGAACACTTCACCTCTTCGGACCCGCCCCAAAAGACGTTTGGGGCCCACTCAATTTTGGGCTCAAAGTCAGCCCAAAATATGCCTATATTAACTATTTTTCCAACAATTAAAATCTTCCACAAAAAAAAAAGAAAAAGAACCCTCTTCAATTGGATTAACAAGAGAAAAGCTTCCCTCGTTTGGAAGGGTATTCTTATTAAAAGAAAAAAAGAAAAAAAGAAAAAACTAAGAAAAATAACTAATTAGTTTGTTGAGAATAGTGACAAGATATATCTATATGGAAGGATTGGGTGTGTGGAGAAAAATCCAAGAGCCATACTTCCAATCTCTCTCTAGGTCTAACTCCTGACTTGTTATCTTATGCTTCAGAAATCCAAATCGAAGAGCCTTTCCTCCTATCGCTTGACTTGTGAGAGCCAAAAATATCCAAACTAATTAAATGGTTGCCTCACTTGCACTTGCAGCTAAACTCTCAAGTTAGATCAAGAAGGAAGTATGTTATGGACATGGAGATGGAAGAGAGTGCAGAACGGGAGTGCAGAGGAGATTATTGCAATTGCAAGCACATTGTATGTGCATGGCCACTAATATATAAATATATATACACACTTGAGTTGCTATAATCTAATATCCCAGTAGGTAAACCGATTTATCTTTATGGTTGGTCTTTAATAAGAACATGTTAATACTTGCATCTCTCTGACAACTATAGAAAATAGATTGGAATTCTTTTATTTTTTGAGAAAAGCCCTCCAGTTGCCCCTTTCAAGTTGGCATCTGTATCTCTGTAAGGTTCACGTCATTGCCAAATAAAATGACTTTTCCAATTTCCCCCACTCCAATTATATAAAACTAGACAATTTGAACCTCAATAAAAAGGGAATCAAACACCTTCCTTCCACGCCGACGACGACAACGGCAATGACAATGGCAATTCTACAACAACAGCAGGACCATTCAACCCGACTTATCCAATTAACTTTCTAACGTGGTGCACGTGAGTGCTGTTAGGTAGGGATGGACATCGACCCGTTGGCCTATCCAGTCCGACCTTATTTTTTGAGTTTGCAAAAATTGTTTGTCGGGTTGGTTTATTAACATTTTTAGCTCGATATATTAATAAACTAAATTTGAGATTTATAATTTCAACCCTGCCTGTCCCGCTATTAAATTAATTATAATATATTAAAAAAATATATTTTTAATTAAAATTTTATCTTTTTTGATTTTATTAAAACTCACATATATGATTTTATTTAAAAAATCCTTCAATTTATACACAATTGTTCAATTATATTTATTTAACAAATATAATGTGTGGTTAAATTTAATTATAAATATTTTAATTTTTTTTGAACATATAGCCCAATGGATGAATTTGAAATCTATAATTATTTTTTGAACCATATTTGAGCAGATGTAGCAGAACTATATTAGGGTTGGGCTAAGCCGGGCTAAGCTTAGACAAATACAAAATCCCTTATTATGTAGTGTTGGCTCGGTGTCACGGGCCGACTCCTTTAGTGGCGTAGCGGATCAATTTTTTACCCATGTGGTGTGGCGCTCAAACTCCACAAAGTTTAAGCCCACCATAGCTTGTTGACAAATCGAGTGGTAGTGATCTCATCTGTTTGAACATTAGGGCCCAATGCTTTGTCAAGCAAAACAACTTCACAAGGAAGCTCCGTCTTCACCCGGATGCCATAAGTAGGCCTAACACTTCAAGTGTACCAAGCACGGCATAAGTCGCTTCATAGCGTCAAGTAAGGTGCTTGCCCAACTTAGGTTCATGTCATCAAGGTGCCTAGCCACAAAACAATGTGCTAGCGAAGGCCCTCGACTTAGCCAACTAGCCAACATTGCATGTTGGGTCTTTAATAGCATCTCAAAGTGTCTTAGGGTCAAGCATGCCTCAATTGATGCATATCGGATGGCCAAACAGTCATGCAAAACCCATAAGCCACCAAGGGTCAATCTCTTGCCCACAGTGTAATCCTTATGCCAACACGTGTGTTAGATTCCGCCTAAGGGCATTGCACACCTTAGCGTTGCACTAGCATGTAGCATGAGTAAGGCAACGTCTCAATCTGTAGCTTGTTTGTAGCATAATGTAGTTCCTCAATGGACTTAGTCAATGCATAGCTTGATACTTTCATTCGATAGCCCACATATGTGATGTTGCGTTCCAACCGCTTAGCGTAAGTCACAAGATCCCCTCGTGCAAGGTTGAACTCAAACCAAACACTTGAGTTAGCACATGAGGCCTTTGGTGGTGCCTCGATAGCCCATTCGGTCCAAAACGAGTCCCAAAGATGCCATATTGTGTGGCATAATAGAAATAACGAGGCCTTTGGTGGTGCCTAAAGCCTGCCCTTGCCCCAAGGCTGCTCACTTGAAGCCTAGTTTGGGCGGAGAGGTAGGTAGGTAGCACACCTTGCCCCCCTTATATGTGCTTGTTAAGCAATTAGTCCTCTGACAGGAGGAAACATCAATATGTCTGAGGAGTCATAATGATTTTTCATAAATTCCACAAGTTGAGAAAAATCATGAAACTTGGTCGGGAAAACACTTCCCCCAAGACCTCTTTCTAGTAAAAATTTCAACTCAAAACTCCTTCATTTGGATGCCCAAACAACGCACCAAAAATCTGCACTGTTGGCTACTATTGCTGGCGGCTGCTGCTGCTGCTGCCTGCTGCTGGCTGGCTGGCATGGGCTGCTGCCGCCGCTGCTGCTGGCTGCTTTTGCTGCCGCTGCTGCTTGCTGCCACTGCTGGCTGCTGCTGGCATGAGCTGCTGCTGCTGCGTGCTGCTGCTGTTGGCAGCTAGCGCTGGCTATTTATATGGGCTGCGGCCTTGCTAATGCTGGCTGCTGGTGGCCCACATGCCTTGGGCTGCTTGGGGCCAATGTTAGGCCACGTTGAGGCACTCCAACGGCCACTCTTTAGCACTCAAATGGCCACACCACCGCGGGCGAAACATCACGGAGTTAGCCTTGCAAGGCAACCCGTGACACTCGGCCCAACAAATACTCACCCCTAACACCAGGTAACTTATCCACATATGTGCACACAGACAAAAAGGAAAAACAACTCATCCACATGCATGCACAAAAAAGAGCCCCCTCCATAGTTGGCCACTAGTTAATAAAAGGGAGAAAAAGAAAGAAAAAAAACCCAATAAAACCCAATAATTATGATAAGACAGCCTGGGTTCAGCCATGAATAAATAGATTGCAGTATTGTACAACAAATAGATTTTACATTTTGAACATCCCCTCTATGCCATTCACACACAAATAAATTAAATAAAAAAAGACAGACAAAATAATAAATAATAAATAATAAATATATGGAAAGTGCAAATGTTGAGTAACATCAGTAACAATATCTAAGTCTAAATTCTAAAATGATGAGGGTCAGGAGATGTGCACAGCTGGGCTCTGCTGTAACATAAATCAAGCAAACCAATAGAGATGTCAACAACCTCTACCCCTTAGACACACCAAGTTCAATATCCTTCACAGGAGTGTTTTCAACTCCCACCTTCAATAGACGAATTTCTTCTTCTGTAAGGCTGTTTTTTGTTTGGGATGTGATCTTGGTATTAGACTGCTTTTCAGCCTCCATGGCCCAACTATAAATTATCATGCCAATAACTGCAATAAGCATTCCCATAATGTTCTTAAATGTCAACTCTGAATCAAACAGCAGCCACCCCAAAGTGAGGACGCATACTGTTTTCATATGACCTAAAACCTGGAAGGAAACTGCTGAGAACCGTCCAATGCAGAGGTACTGGCTCACATTGCAGAACACTGCTAGGGAGCAGGAAAGAAGAATGAATAACTGCAAATATTGCCACACATGTTATTAGATATATATATATATATATTTCACAAAAAATTATTCTCATACGAAGAACAGATCAATCCATGGATGAAACAAAGTTCTACATATTATACTACTAGAGTAAAGATTGAATAGGAGATGAGTACTTACAATGGCACCAGAAGACATCTTGTAGCTCCCTATAAATTTTCCACTAAGATAGTAGTCAATGATAGGACCCAGCACAAGAAGAGAGAACGATTGAATTGGAGCTGTCTTACTCAACAATTCAAAAGATCCGATTGAATACTTCTCTTGTAAGGAACCTATTGACTGTATACAAATGAAGCTTGCTTAACCATAAAACCAAGACCATAGAATAAAATCAGTGTTCCAGAGATAATGTAATGAAATGACACTGAAAAATCAAGCAGTAAATACAAGCAATGGAGTGCATGAAAGGCCAGGATAACAGTCACAAGTAAAGTTAGACCTTAATTCCAAAAAAATGTACATTCAATAGCATTCAAGGTCTCATAAATTCAAGTTTTCCAACAATTTACTAGAAAAAGTTTCCAAATAATATTCTTCTTACTTACTCCTGAATATGAACGGTGTTGGTTTCGGTATTGAAAATATATGCTAAAAATTCTCAAAAAATTGTATTTGTGAACTACATCCAAAATCAAAACTACTGAGTCAAACCACTCTCTATCTCTCCCCCATGTCATGTGTGTGTACGTTCTTGTGTATGTAGACAGTGTACAACACACATCTGCTTGTATGTTTGAACTGGGTAAAGAAAGATGTGGGTGGATGGATCTAAAGTTGAATATGAGCTGGAAGGATCGTGCTGGAAGTGTTTGCACCAACACTTACAGTGTTAGGTTCAAAATATCATAAAAGGTTCATCTCTATACTACTGCATAAACAAATTTTAGTTGAAGTCAATTTCAGTAACACTTTTCTTCATGTACTGTTTATTTTCAATCTGCTGCCCATGAATGTGGTGTTGGGGTTATGGAGTCACAGTCCTAACACGGCTACTCACCATCTACTTAGGCCATGATATGCAACTTCACTGATTTGTTGGCTGAGCCATGTGAGAAAATGCCTAGGCATCAAAGAGTACATGTCAGCAGCCACAATGCGTAGTGAACCCTCTACAAATTAACAGTAATCAATTAATATTTCTCATAATGGTTGGAACGCAATCGGAGAATTTTTCAGAGAGTGAATGTATCGGTGGCTCGTTAGAAGTAAAGGTTTTTGGTGATTTTGTATAGTGGGGTTTTAGGGAGAGTGGATTCGGATTTGTTTTCTCTAATTGATTTTTCAGATACTCTTCATGTTCAGGTTTTGGGCTGTTTGGTCATTTTTTCCTGTGTAATTGTTAGCATCATCTTGATGCTTCTAACTTAGTAATATTGACTTTTATTTATCAAAAAGTAAATAAATAAATAAAATTCTGATAACTAATAACCGCTTGAGGAACTAACTTGGTTCAAAGATGGATAATTTAATAGCTCTATACTTAAAAATTGACATTTGTTTTAAAAAATCCAATGATATCATTTAATTATTAGTGTTAAATATAAGATTCAGAATTAATCTTATCTTTAGAGATTGGCAGGTCAGGATATAACAAATATCTAAACAATCTTACCTTTTATTTGTAAAGATCTACAAATATGATTATATCCATGTATTCAATAGGAGTTTAGTGAAAATAGTACTATTTGAATTTGTAAATGTAAGCCACCACGGCTAAAATATGTACATTTATCTCTTCTCTATCCCTTATTCTTTCATTTCACATATTTCCTTGTTACTTCTACATTTCCACATGGTATTAGAAGGTAAAGACATGCATATACAATATCTACGTAAATCCATATGTGACATGTAAGGCACAAGATAATTTTTGACTAGTTGCATCAATTGGTGTACAAATTTAACTTCGATCTCAACAAAATATGGGACTGGCCCAGGACTAATGGCATAAAACTATTTGAGTCTCATAGGCATGCCTCATATAGTGGAGCCCATAACTAAAATATTTAGGGTAATGAAATAACAAGGACGTCCCCTGAGGTTTTTGAAATGATACAAACCTCCCTTCTCAATGTTGACAAAATAATAGTTAACAATATTTTCCTTCTCTTATTCTAAAAATATTCATTTCACACTCCTACGGGGATATTTTATTCTAGTTGTTCTCATCATATGACTCCTATTGTGTAACTTCTTAGTAATTGAGTGTCACCTTCTTCTCCCATTACTATTGCCACTGCTAATGGCTCTCCTATGACTGCTCATTTTATTGGTTCAATCTCCTCTCCTTGCTTGTTTATTTCTTGTGTCTTCTATGTGCCTCAACTCTCTCTCTCAGCCTTATATCTATTAGCCAATTGTCTTGCTAGCTTGGGTTTGGGTTAGCATCCTGCCGTGGCGAAGGTTCGGGTTGAGGCCAAGTCACAGTTGACTTGTGGCGCTCTACCCTTTAATGGAATAAAGTTGCGCCTTCACCACTACCTATGGGTTTTGGTGAGATGGTAAGCGATTGATCCTACAATTGGTATCAGAGCGAGGTCTCAAGTTCGATTCTCCTGGATGGCATACTGCCTGTGGGCAAGTGCTGGGGGGATTGTTGGCCGAGTCACAGTCGACTTGTAGCACTTGGCACTGTACCCTTTTAAGGGAATAAAGTTGCGACTTCACTACTACTTATGGGTTTTGGTGAGATAGTAAGTGCTTGATCCTACAATGTCTCATTCCGATTTTGATGTTTTCTTTTTTTCTCACTGTGTTGTGCAGGATTGGGTGTCCAAGAGACATATTGGGATTGGGTGTAGAGTTAGAAAACATTATGTCTTGGAAAGCTTCCATGTCTCTTTGGATGTATCTTCCACTACTTTGTCTTCATTTTGTCTAAACAATAGCTCTTCCCTGTTTTATATTTAGCATTCTAGATTGACTCACTAATCGAGTGATCTTTTGAAACTTTTCGTTAAATCTCGTCACTCAGGTAAATTTTCCATTCGTGACATTTCTAAGTGTAGTGGTTGTAAATTTGCAAAAATTTCTGCTCTTCTTTTAATAAAAGTAGTTATATTTCTTCCTCTCCCTTCCAGTTGGTTCACAATGACGTTTGGGAGCCTTCCCCCATTGTTACCAAGAGTGGTTCACAGTATTATGTGTCATTTGTTTTTTCTTTTTTTTTTGATAAATAAGAACAAATATTATTAATGTCAAAGATAACCAGGCTGGATCTGTGTGTGAGCTGGCCAAACTGTGAATATTTGAATTTGTATTTAGATTTGCCATATCCCTAATTTATAGGGATTGTATTCTAGGAATCTCATTCCTGATTTGTAGGGATTAGCTAGCTATAATTTGTATATATAGTCTTTCCATGTATATTTCTAAGTAATGAATATTATTCCCATTTATCATGGTATCAGAGCCTCTTATGCTCTCTGGGAACTAAAACTTTCTGTGGCTTGCATTGCCATACTTCGTTGTTCCTTCAACCTTTCATTCTTCGACCTTCATTGCCAATTGTAGAATGTATTTGCCCAGAAATACTTCTTTTTCATTCCATTTTTTCTTCTTCTTCAATATCATCATGTCTGAAGTAACTCAAACTTCGAACCCATCTGAAATTGGGAAAACCGACTCCTAGCATGGTTTCAACAGGAGACTTGCAGAATATTCAACCAAGTTACCGGTTGAATGGAAAAAACTACCTTAAGTGGTCTCAATTTGTTTGAACTTTTCTTAAAGGGAAGGGAAAATTGAGTCATCTTCTTGGAGCAGGACCAAAACCCAGAGATCCGAAGTTTGATGCCTGGGATGAAGCTGATTCCATGGTAATGTCATGGCTATGGAACTTGATGATACCTGAAGTGAGTGATAAGTGCATGTTTTTGGAAACAACAAAGGACATTTGGGACACATGTAAACAAACTTATTCGAAGGTTCATGATGCCGCACAAGTCTATGATATCAAGACCAGAATTTCAGCCACTAAACAGGGTAATCGTTCTATTACTGAATACTCTAATATCTTGCAAAACTTAAGGCAAGAGTTGGATCATTATCAATGTATTGCGATGAAGTGCAGTGAAGACTCTACCATTCTTAAGAGGTTTATGGAGAAGGAAAGAAGTTACATTTTCCTTGCTGGATTGAATGCTGAGTTTGATGCTGTCAGAATTCAAGTCCTTGGAAAAGAAGACTTTCCATCATTGAATGAGACTATTGGAATAATCCGAGGAGAAGAAAGTCGCAGAGGAGTCATGTTGGAGCCTCAATCTGTGGAAGGTTTTGCCATGGTTGTTAGGGGTGCTAATGCAAGGAATAGGGGAGCAGATCATCCACTGAGCTCTTACTCTGATGAATTGACAATTGAAAATGGAAACAAGGATTCGATTGTGTGTACTTTCTGCAAAAAGCCCAAGACACACCAGAGAAAAATGCTAGAAACTTCACGGCAAGCCTGCAAATTATCAAAATCCTCAAACCACCAACAAAAATTGGAGAGTAAAGAGTGGACCAGCACGAGGACAAGGACAAGGACAAGGACAAGGACAAGCACATGTGACTACGGTACAACCAAGAAGCGAAATAGATTGTCCACGATTGAGCAGAGTTCAACATGGACGAGATTGAAAAACTAAAAAATTTACTGGGCACTCCAGAAAATCCTACGAGCTCAAGTACTTGTTCCTTCGTTTATCCAGGTAATGCCTCTCAATCCTTTACTCTCAATGTCTCGAAAATGCCCATAACAGATTCTTGGGTAGTTGATTCTGGGGCCACAGATCATTGACTAAATCTTCTCATGAATTTGTCTCTTACAATCCTTGTCCTAGTAATAAAAAGATATCTACTGCAGATGGTACTTTGATTATTGTTGCTGGTTAGGGAGAGATTGTTATCAATTCGAAAATTGTTTTAAAGAATGTTTTACATGTGCCGAAATTATCCGTAAACCTCGTCTCCGTTCATAAACTTGCAAAGGATTTGAATTGTACCATGACCTTCTCTTCTACACATTGTGAATTTCAGGACCAGGGCAAGGGGAAGATGATTGGACTTGCTAGAGAGAAACATGGACTGTACTATCTTGAAGAATTCAGTGGGTAAAATAGCACTATGAATAATTTTCCTGTCTCATTTCTTTCTGAGTCATCTCTTTCAAATAAAAACAAAATCTGATTGTATCATCTTCGTTTTGGTCATCCCTCTTTCAGTGTTCTTAAAATTATGTTTTCACATTTGTTTAATGGGATTGATATGGGTATATTTCATTATGATGTTCGTGAGCT